ATTCGGAAGGGAGAAATTAAAATCACAGGCCGTGGTGCTGGTGGGAGATTTGGTATCCTAAGGACAAGGAGAAAGAACTGGGCGTGGTAAAAGCAACTTACATCCCTGGAGATGAACGGGGTCCTCTTTCCCCTCTGTTGGTCTCCATGCCTCCCCTCATTCATTCTCACTCTTCAAGTTCATCTGTTGGAACTCACCCCTGCTTTACCAACGTCACTTCAAGACACAGCTGCTAAGTGGACCAGGATTCACACTTGGGGCCACCAACAACCAGAGCCACTGGTTGAGTGGCTGAAGTGGGTTCAGATGTCTGAGTGATACAGGTATTGTGAGATGGCCCCAGTATGTTGTTGCCTATAAACGGTGGGACTATCAAAGAGCCTGGATGGTATAATCCCATTTATGTGAAATGAACAATAAAAAAGAAAGAAAGAAAGGAAGAAAAAAGGCACTTGCTTGAAAGTTATTTATATGTTAATCTGAAACTGTGGAAGTTCCCAAGCTAGAGAACTGCCCTAAAAAAAAAATTAAAAAACCACCCTCCTTAAATCTCACCGTTGAAATTAATGGAGGGTGACTGAAGGGATTCACTGAAGAGCTCTGCTGGGGACAGATGGGACAGGTGGGTCACTGGGGGATGCTCCACCAGTGGGAGAACCGCCACCTGATCTGCGCAGCACCAACAGGCGGGTGAGGTGTCGTGGGCCACGGCAGAGTCGTGTGTGGCAGCCCTCCTGGTGCCACACGGGTTGGCACGGGTCTCTAAGTGCCAGCAAGCAGCAATGTCCAAAGCCCTGGGCTGTGATTGTGGGCTCACATCTAATTCACGCCGCTCCAGGGTCTACACGATGGAAAGAAGAACTCAAGAAGGCGTTCTGGAAGTTGCCACAGTGGGCAAACCTTCTTCCCATGACCTGTCATGCTCTCAGGGACTGACGAGATAACTAACCACAGAAAACACCCACTCACTGGGAACAGGCCAGGACCAGAACATTTCCGATCAACTATCTCATGTTGGATATAACTGATATATATACCGCAGAAAACACCAGTCACTGGGAACAGGCCAGGACCAGAACATTTCCGATCAACTATCTCATGTCGGATATAATCGATATATACTTTCAAGGAATATAATGTATATATGCAATTTCCAGTCTGGATAGTCATGTACCTACCTAGTCACAGTGATAGTCTCCAGGGCAGTGGGATTATGAGAGGGCTTTTTTTTTTCTTTGTATCATTTTGAATTTTTCATATTGATCATGCATTATCAGGGGGAAAAGGGATTACTTAATCATAGAAAACAATATGTACTTTCATTCCTGGTCCTTAAATGGAGCCAAAGGCATTTTGATGGAGACTTATTAACCATTGCAACACATACCCCAAAGAGAGCCAACGTGACCAGGATCGGGCACTTGAGCAGAACCCTCTGGAAAGAAAGAGGTGCCTTCCTTCCCCTGGAGTTGTTAAGCTGCTCAAAACCCTACAATAGCTCTTCCTCTGACTTGTAGTAGAATCCCTCCATCTTGAGCACAGCTCTCAAAGCCCAATGTCATCTGAGCCTTGGCTCTGTCCCTGGCCTTGCCCCCTTGCCCGCTCAGCTCTGGCCACACCAGCCTGTGTGCTGTCTTCCCTCCTGGGGGCCTCTGTGCCTGCTGCCCACTGTGTGTGGAAGCTCTGCTCCACCTGCTCACTCGCGGGCTTCCTCGAGGCCCTTGGTCACACAGCACCTCATCACGGGCATGTCCCCTCCTCCCATGTAACACGGCAACCTCTGCCCACTTCCTCCTGCTCCTCACTCTGCCCTAAGTGTTAAAAAATATGTTAGTCGCTAAGCCATGTCCGACTCTTTGTGACCCCTATGGACTAGCCAGCAAGGCTCCTCTGTCCATGGGGATTCTCCAGGCAAGAATACTGGAGTGAGGGGCCATTCCCTTCTCCAGGGGATCTTCCCAACCCAGTGATCGAACCCAGGTCTCCTGCATTGCAAGCAGAGGAATATTCTTTACTGTCTGAGCCTCAGATGTGGTGGGGACCATGGTACCTGAAACACACACTTGTCTAAGGGGACAGCTATCCCCTAGCTCCATGCATGGCTGTTATTGAAGAATGTGATTCCCAAATCTTTCGATTTTTCAAGAAAAGCCCCCAGTGCAGACTGACACGGAATCTCCTGATTCTTAAATGTCAGCTAGTAATTCACATCTTTCTAAAAAGCACAGTCAAGGGGGGAGGGGAAGTGGAGGCCAACAGAACATGCTTGCACATGCCCGATCTGTGAACTCGGAGCGCGGAGAAACTGAAGTCCACTAAGGATCTGACGGAGGCGAGAAGTCTGGTGTGTTTCAGCAGTGAAGGGCAGATGAAAAGTACACACGCGGACAGCATTCCTTTTGCTCCACTTCAGGCTGCACTTGCAAACAGTGTGAGGGGGACTGAGTATATTTAGCCAGGCCTTTTTTTTTTTTTTTTCCTCCCTTTCCCTGTTCAGATCGCATCTCTTAAGGTTTCTGCCTTTGCTGAAACCTGGCGTGGCCATTTTACTCTTTCACTTAGGAGGAAAATAACTCCAAGGGGAAATTGACTGTGAAGTCTCACGGAGTGCCCCCTTAAGATGGGGAGAAAAAGGGAAGGAGGAAATACAATCAAGCACTCACAGTGGAAAAAATTAAGTGCGGGCGAGTGGGGCGATGCTGCTCCACAGCAGGCGCACCCAGGAATGCTAATGGAGCTTAATAGCTTGTGAGGGACAGGCTGCCTGGTGTTGCAGGGAGCTTGGGAGCTTGCAAAGGAAGGAATATATGTTCATTTAACGGGGTGGGGGTGGCAGTGGGGATGTACCAAATGGCCAAAGGAGGAGAGAGGATTAACATGCTTGAAGGGCACTCAGGCAGGGCTCGGGCTGAGCTTGGCTTCAAACCAGCCTCCCCAGTGAAGGGAAGCTGAAAGCTGTTAGCACAGACTCCTCCTGAGCAGGGAACCTTTGGTTGATTCAAAAGCAAGCGTGTGTGTGTGTGTGTGTGTGTGTTGTGTGTGTTCTGTGGGAGGTGGGTGTTGAATGCAATAAAGGCCACAGCTTCGCCCGCTGCAAAATCCCATTTCTATGGACTGTTTACAGAGACAAGGTCATTGGGTCCTTCCACTTAAGAGCATTTTTTTTTTAATCCAGGAAGAACAAAAATTTGCAATTAACGTTCAGATTTTCTGCAGCCGGAATGTGAAACAAAGTGATCCCTTGCTCCTCAATTGTCCTTCCTTGACGAGCAAAGAAGGGAAGACCAACATGCAACAGTGATCAAAGGAATGTTTCCAGGGTGACATCCTGTCTCCTTTGTGAGTCATTTTCATTCCAGAGAAGGAGGTTTCAGGTACAGAAGCGGCGGGCGGAAGGAAGAGTCTGTCCTGGGGAGGCTGTGGAATCTGCAGCTTGGGTCCACGGCTGAACAATCTCATTCTCAGCAAATGGGGCAGGACTGGCTCAGCAGCTTGACTTTGCCTCCTCTCTAAAATTCAGCTTGTACATAACCGTGGCGATAATCTACACACTCATCCTAATTACAAAATCGATGCCCTTGGAATAAAACCCCGTCCTCCATCCCCACCCCCACCCTGCTCACAGTGCACACTGTCCGGTTGGTCCCCCTGCTCCTCCGACCTCATCACCTCATAACTCCCCTTAGCTCACATCATGCCTGCATCGTGCGCCTTGAACAAACGCAGCCTCGGGTCCCCTGTGCCTGCTGTTCCCTCTGCCTGGAGTGCTTTTCCGCACCCGGCTCTGTCTTATCCATTAAGTTTCAGCTGATATGTCACGCCTGAGAGAAGCGTTCCTTCCCTTTCTATCGTCGAATGTTCCCTCTTGCCCACACTGTCCCATCGCCCCTTTCTGGTTGTGTTTTTTTTTTCCCTAGAACACATTATTTATTTCTTGATTTTCTTCTTTTTTAAAATTTTGTATTTCACTTTTAATTTTTACTTTGCATGTCTTGAAAGGTTTCTGAGTTTTTTATTTTATTCTTTACTGTCTGTCTCTCCCTCTGGAACATAAGTTGCTTAAGAATAGGAGCCTTGTCAGTTTTGTTCTTTTCTGTGTCTCTGATGCCCAGGATTGAGCCTGATGCTCAAAAGTGGGTACCCAACAAATATATAATGAAAGGGAGACTGGGATTTACTGTTGCAATTCCAAGGATTTCAGAAATGAAATGACAATTGGAGGAAGGGCTGGGAAACACCCCAGGGGTCAACCCTGTCAGCTGCTGCATGGCCAGGGACTCTGAGCTACAGCTACACATGGGCCTCTGGGTGTTTCCATGTGTGTGGTTCTGCTGGCCTGGGTGGTGGGGGTGGGCGGGTTGGATATTCAAAATATTTACCAGCAGGTGCATGATACAGGGTTTCCCAGGTGGCTCTAGGAGTAAAGAAACTGCCTGCCAATGCAGGAGATGCAAGAGACATGGGTTTGATCCCTAGGTTGGGAAGATCCCCTGGAGAAGGGTATAGAAACTCACTCCAGTATTCATGCCTGGAGAATCCCATGCACAGAGGAGCCTGATGGGCTACCATGCATAGGATTGCAAAGAGTTGGACACAACGGAAGTGACTTAGCACACTTGCATACAGGTGCAGACGGGTTATCAGCTCGGCTTACCTCCCCTCCCCTCCAGCTTTTAGGAACCAGGTAAATGCCACTCCCTCCAGGAAGCCTTCCCAGATCCTCTCCCTCCTGGTCCCCATATGCCCTGCCCCACCTCTCAGCTCCCTCTTTTGGTAGAGGGATTATATGTTGGTGCCTCTTTTAGGTCAGACACCAGCCTTGCTGACCTCTGGACGTGGGTTCCCAGTAGAGTGTCTAGCACAAGGTTTGTATGCTCATTAAAGTGCAGAAAATAAGTGCAAGAGGGAAGGAAGGCAGGCTCTTGTGAAGGAAGGAAGGAAATAAGGAACTGTTAGTACCCCTGAGAGCTACTCGAGCCCCGAACTGAAGCCAGTCTTACCTGTGGACAGTCCCCAGAAGCATCCTTCACCTTGACAGTCACATCCCCACATGGCTCAGAATCTTCAGCATAGTCCGGAGGAGGCTGGATGTAGAGCCGCGGGCCAGCTTCTGTTCTGATCTGCACAGATTTCTAGGCACAAAAAGCCAGAAGGTTTCAGATATGGTGAAACGAACTCCTTGATTCCTCTGAGGGGTGAGCGTGGTAGGAACTCTGTCGTGGTAGGTGGTCACGGTCAGGGTGCACGCGGCTGGGCGCCACCTCGGACAGGCCGGTCGGATGGGTTGAACCACTCCTATTCAAGTCTTTACTGGTTCTGACGCCCGAAGTGTGTGCAGTAGAATTTTTTAGTAACTTTTTGCTTGGACATATCAGTAGAATTTCAGTAGGTGTTCAACTTCCCCAAATGGGCTTTGGGATCTAAATAAGTTTAGGGAAGCCTGGGTTTGGGACCAGGACTTCCCAGGGCCTTTGATAGGCCCCCTCATCCCCTCCTCCACACACATTGGGGACAATCCTAAAAATACTGGGTTGGTCGAAAAATTTATTCGAGTCTTTCCATCACATCTTACTGTTTGGCCAATCCAATAAAATACAGATGAAACTGATCTCAAACCTTTGAGGCCGTGGAAGCTGTGTGGTGGGACCCTGTCCTCCTAGCATTCCTTGAGTCATTCTTTGGGAAACCCATCCCTTGGCCCTATGTCCCCTGAATGCCCATTTCCCCTCCCTTTCTTGTATTGCATTTCCATGGAGTGAACGTGGTGTGTCCAGCATTCCCAGTGACTGGGGGTGGGGGAACAGGTGAGCACTGGCCTCAGTGATGTGGGGGTGAGGGAGGAAAGTGTGTATCTTTGAGGCAGTGCCCACGCTTGCCCTGACCCCCTTTCCTGCCAGCTGGAATGAGGAGGTGATGGCAAGCTGCTGAGCATGGTTGGGGAGGGGGAGGCCTGTGGAGGAGGCTAAAGCGATGAAAGAGGCTGTGCTGGCCTCCTCTGCCACCTCTCAGAGCAAGGTGACAGCCCACCACTAATCTTTGCTGGAGACACCAACTTTCACGTTGTTGAAGCCAGAGTTACTTGGGTCCCCTTGCTTTCGCAGCCAGACCTGTACCCCATGTGAAGGTCCCTATGACCCGGCCCCAGCCTCTTTCTCCTACGCTGATTCCCACACAAGCACTCACATACCAGACGTCTGGGCCAAGCATAACTGTTTCCTGGCCCCTGCAGATGCAGCTTTGTCAGCCTAGTAATCCATCCAGTGTATAATGAGGCTGCACTACTCGCCCCACACGGCACCAAGGGGCCAGACCTCCCGCTCAGGGTCTATTTCATCCATCGTGAACCCAGGAGCAAGCTGCCCAGTTAGACAAGGAAAGGAACTGTCACTGGATCAGTGCTCTGACTCCCAAAGTTGGCTGTGTTGGACTTGGTGGACAAGACTGGGGGCAGGGGAGAGTGGGGGCAAGTCAGGTGCCCAGGGAGCAAACTCTAAGGGGATCCCTCCTATCGGTGAGGCTGTGCGCGTGCACAAATCTGAGAGCCAGGGCCTCTTTAAATGTCGCTCTGAGATTCGGACGGGCTTATGGGTTTCCCTGGTGGCCCAGTAGTAAAGAATCACCCGCCAATGCAGGAGACCCAGGTTCGATCCCTGGGTTGGGAAGATCCCCTGGAGAAGGAAATTGGCAACCCACTCCAGTATTCTTGCTTGGGAAATCCCATAGACAGAGGAGCCTGGCGGGCTACAGTCCGTGGGGCCGCAAGAGTCTCACACAACTGAGCGACTAAACCACCAAGCCACCACCTGAGGGTCAGGAGAGGTCCACCAAGCCCCGTGTACTGATCTACTTCCCAGCCGAGGGGCAGTCATCAGTGATTCAGAGCTTGCATTTCCCGATGCCCGACCTTTAGAAACCTCCACTCCCCGGGATGAGATGCAGCTTCCCCTCAACATAGTAAACCGTGCCGTTATCTTGATAATGAAGATCCTGAGCCTTGTTGCCCTGCAGGATGCGCAGTGGTCAGGACGGAAGTCCTTTCTGAGCCGCATCGACACTGCCCGTGCCCACCACCCCGCCATCATCACACTGGACACCAAGTCACCTAATGAAGAGCTTCAGCGGCCTGTGTTCCTTTAGTCCTCACAGCTATTCCAGGGGGAAACCGAGGCACAAGGCTACAAGCCATGTGGTCAGTGTCCCACAGCTAGGAGGCCCCAGAGTCTAGATCTGAATCCCAGCAGGGTGGCTTCAGGGGCCTTACTGGAAACCAGGGATGGGCCAGTTTCCTGTAAAGAGTAGATACTTAAAGGCTTTGCCAGCCCTGTGGTCTCTGCTACAGTATTCCATTGTTTCATTGTAGCTCAAAGCAGCCTTGCCTAAATAAATGCGTGCATGCATGCTAAGTTGCTTCAGTCATGTCTGTCTCTTTGCGACTCCACAGACTGTAGCCTGCCAGGCTTCTCTGTCCATGAGATTCTCCAGGCAAGAATACTAAAGTGGGTTGCTGCGCTCTCCTCCAGAGGATATTCCCGACCCAGGGATTGAACCCGAGTCTCTTATGTCTCTTGCATTGGCAGGTGAGTTCTTTACCACTATCACCACAAGATAAATAATAACACGTAACAATGGGCATGACTGTGTCCCCCAAACACTTGATTTACAGAAACAGGCTGTGGTTGAATTCAGCCCCGAGGCTGTAGTTTGCTGCCTGACCCTGGTTCTGAACCTCCACGCTGTATTGCCCCCAACAGGCACGTGAAGAAGAAATGTGTCCAGGTTGGGGTAGAGTAGACTTTGGGGAGATCAGAGAGGGATTCAAAACTTTCCTGAGACTATTTAACACTAAAGACACAGGAGCTGGGCCGTAGATCACTCCAGGAAAAGGCCTTGGAGAAAGAGCGTAAGAGGCAGAAAAGGCAGGTAGGGAGCTCCCCACCAGAGAACAGGCAGGAGGCAGAAACGCAGAAGGAAGGGGCCGTGGGACACGTTTTCTTTCACAGGCCACCCCGTCATGTGGTGACCCTCCCCAGACTCTTAAGTGCACCTGGCTGTTTCCAGAATGGCAACTTCCACCCACCTTCTGTTTGACCATCAACCTTGTCGCCCTGGGCTCTGGCTCCCCGTGGGGCATCACTGCCTCCCAGGCTTCATCAGCGTGCTTTCAGAGCATTTGCTGGCACCAGCAGTGGGGTCCGTGGAGGGTGGGTGCCACAGAATTCATAGAACTGGCTTCCAGACCAGGAGGCTCCTGGAGGCTTCCCTGCCCCAGGTCAGGGTGAAGCTGTGAAGGCTTTGAAGTTCATGGCTGGGATGGGTTTTCCACCATGTGCCCCTCCCTCTTTCCCAGGAATCATTCAATAATATTCAAGTACTGGGAAGAAACGGTAAAAGAGAGGAGGAGGGAGGGAGGACCACTGCGCCCAGGGACCCTGCCTGGGGTGCAGCCTGGCCCCTCCAAGGTTTCTACCCCTTTATCTAGAAAGGGAGGCCTGGGACAAGAGCCTTGCTCCTCCACGTGTGATCCAGGGCCCAGTAGCACTGGCTTCTCTGGGGAATTTATGAGAAATACAAAGTTTCAAGCCGCATCTCAGATGCAGGAATCAGAACCTGCATTTTAACAAGACCCCAGGTGGTTTAAACACACATTAAGTGGAAGAAGTGTAAAATCAGAAAGTCTGTGAGGTTTAGCGGTGGGCACTGTTGCTTCTGCCAGTCCAGTATGCAGTCCCCTGTCTTCTGGTAAAAAGTACCCTGGTTTTCTTTTGGGAAATCCTCCCCCTCCCCACCCCTAATCCAAGTGTTCATGTGGAACTGCATCCAGGGGTGGAGGGAGTCTTTGACCCTGACCTGGCCAGTCTGAGCATTAGATCCTGCTGACCCATGCTGTTTTGAGTGATAGGTTTAGGGGAGCCAAAGAGATGCAACAGCAGGTGACAGAATGTAAGTTGGGGGCTGCTTGCTGGTGGCCAATGTGGTTCTGCCAGGACAACATGGAAAAAAGCAGAGATGGGTGATGGCGAATGAGCCCTGCTACAATGTCTAAGCACCTGTCTGAGCACCTGGATCCAGTCATGTCTGAAATGGGAATTTCCCATTGGCAAGTGAGAGAGCTGGGCTCAATGCAGCTCTACTGGCTTGATCTTAATTATAAATATAAGAAAGCACTCCAGTTCATGAAGAGTCCAATGTGTGTGTCTCTCTGTCCTATAGTTTTCCCTCCTCCCTCCAAGGAGCTTAGCACAACTACTTGCCTCACCAAGGTATGACGGGTTTGCAATAGGGCTTTAAGGAACTTAATCAGCAAGTCCTTACCGAGTGCTAACTGCATAACAAGGTTCTGGAAACATGAGGATAGGGAAAAAAAAAATGTAAACCAATGCCCTGGCCTCAAGGAACCCACTCAGCACATATAACGGAAAAATGTGTTTATGAAGCAACATGTGACAAAATTAATGTGGTCCAGAAAGAGCTTCTAAATGCTGAGTGGGTGCTGGAGAGGGAAATAAATAGTCCTTCCATCTGGCCGGCTCTCCCGCCCCAGCCCCAGGAGGTGCCTCTGCCACCACGGAGAGGAGGTGGTGAGCAGCCCCCCCACAAGAGAACGCCCACCTGCTGCCGCCGAGGAGCCAGCCCCTGGTGCACCAGCCCGCTCCCTGCCTCCCACCTTCATGTCCTTGCAAAGATGTTGCCCGAGGTTCTGGCTGGCTCCCCGATTTACCCAGAGTGGGCGTTTCTGAGCAGCTGCTCTCTGCTGCCTACTTGCAAGCACCCAGATCTGGCAGTCCCTTGCACTATCAACCATATACTGGAATAGGGTTCAGAAGCCCTAAACATCCTGAAGTGAAAGTGAAAGTGTCAGTCGCTGAGTCAGGTCTGACTCTTTGTGACCCCATGGACTGTAGCCCGCCAGGTTCTTCTGTCCATGCACGTCTCCAGGCAAAAATACTGGAGTGGGGAGCCGTGCCCTTCTCCAAGAGATTTGCCTGACCCAGGGATCAAAGCCAGTTCTCCTGCATTGCAGGTGGATCCTTTACCATCTGAGCCACCGGGGAAGCCCCTAAACACACCTAAACACCCACAGACCAGTTTGCCAGCCCAAGGCCAGCTTGTTTAGTACTCAGCCCACTCAGCC